CCTACAGACACCCCCAGAACCCTCCTGGATCCACCCCGCAGCCTCAAACCCGACCCCAGCCACCCCTGCTTCCCTGTACCCCATAACTGATCCCACACCACCATAACTAACCCCATACCCCCGAATCAGAGCCCACAACCCCATACCTGAGCCATAACAGACCCCACACCCCCATACAGCTACGACTAACCCCACACCCCCATAACGGACCCCACACCCCCATACCACCACAACTGACTCCATACCCCCATAACAGGCCCCACAACCCCATACAGAGCTACGACTGACCCCACAATCCCATAACTGACCCCACAACCCCATGCCTGACCCCATGCCCTCATACTGCCATAACAAGCCCCACAATTCCATACAGCTACAACTGACCCCACACCCCCATCATTGACCCCATATGGCCATGACTGACCCCACATCCCCATAACTGACCCCATACGGCTATGACTGACCCCACACCCCATGACTGACACCATATGACCATGACTGACCCCACACCCAACCCTATATGGCCATGACTGATCCCACACCCTGCAACTCACCCCATACGGTCATGATCGACCCCACACACCACAACTGACCCCATATGGCCATGACTGACCCCACACCCCACAATTGATCCCATATGGCCATGACTGACCCCACACCCAACCCCATACGGCCATGACTGACCACACACCCGACCCCATAACCTCCCCCCCCCGCTCTCCCTACCCGTAGGTTCGGGTTCGGGCTCAGAATCGCCGTCCTCCTCCCGCTCCCGCTTGACGCGCGCAGCTCCGCCGCTTCCGGTTCCGGTTCCGGTCCAATTCCCGCCTCCCGCCTCCCTCCGGCCGCGCGCAGTCCCGCCGAGCAGGCCCAGCCCCAGGCCCAGCCCCAGGCCCAGGCCCGGCCCGGGTTCCGCCGCCGCCTCCCGCTTTTCCCGGCCGCGCTCCGCTTCCCTCCGGCCGCGGGCCCTGTCCGCATCGCTGTCCCGGCGGCTCCGGGAGGATCCCCGCGCCGAGGCCGACCCGGAGCCCCGCGCGGCCGCCCGCTCCCGGTCCCGCTCCCGCTCCCTCTTCCCGCGGCTCGACATCGCTGCGCACCGCGCATGCGCCGATGCAGCAACGCGCATGCGTCACTGCTCATCGCGCGTGCGCACAGCGCCACAGCGCCTCCACGCATGCGCAGTACGCCGCGCTCGCTCTGCGTCTGCGCACTGCGCCCTTCGGGCTCCAGCGCTCCGCGGATTCCGCGCCTGCGCAGTGCGCTGTGTCCGCTTTGCGCCTGCGCACTGCTCGCTGCGGGCTCTGCGCCTGCGCAGAGCGGCGTGCCGAACTCCGGCGGAACTTTTAAAGGGGCCGCGTCCCGGTACCGGCGAGGTTCGGTTGCCGCCTCCCGCCCCATCCCGGCGGATGGAGACGAGTTCGGGGCGGCGCTGCCGGCCGGGCGGGCGGCTCGACATGAGCCACGGCTTCGTGCGGCACATCCGCCGGAACCAGCTGGCCAGGTACCGGCAGCGCCTCCGGTAACGCCGACCCCGGGACCCCGTTTCCCCCCAACCCCCCCTGCAGTGCGCGCGTGTCCCCCTTTTCGCTGTCCTACAGCCGCCCTCCGCCCTCATAACCCTCCTCGTACCCCAGAGCCTCCCCCGGTATTCCCGTACCCCCCCGGTACTCCCGTAATTCTCTCCCGGTGCCCCCCGGTGCTCTCTGTTCCTTTTCCCGAGCTCTCACTCCCCGCTCCGTTTCCCCACGATACACCCCCTATGCTCAATGCTCCCCCCTCCCGTCCCTCCCGGTGCTCGGTTTCCCCCCCTCCCGGTGTCCCGGTGTCCCGGTGTCCCGGTGTCCCGGTGTCCCGGTGCTGAGCCCCGCTGCCCAGGGACGCCTACGAGCGCGCCGTCAGACAGGCACGGGGCAGAGCTCGGGGGCGGCACACCGCAGCGCCCCCCCGGCCCCGCCGCCCCGATCAGCCCGTGTACAGAGCGAGGAGATCCGGT